AAAAGCTGTCAAGTTTTATGATAGTATTGCAAAGCAGCTTGTCGCTCAGGGTCATGTGTTAGACCTTTTCGCCTCTGCACTTGATCAGGTATTAATGTGTCATGATTATATTTTGCTTGTTGGCATGATGCCCAAACACTGGTTTTGTTCTTCAGGTATAAATGTGTGGTTTCTTGCAATGCTTGATTTTTCCATTTTGTCTGTGTCGCTGTTACATTTTAGCTAAAATGAATGCCATGCCTCATTAACTCCCTGAAAGTGTTGTTTTATGTGTATGATCTTGAATATGCATTCCTAGTTACTAAATTGTTAGGCGAAGTTGACATTGTTGATGCACACCAATTGTGAAAGCTCTTACTTGTACTCGAGTTGTTTAACTAACCTGTGATCACCAGTTTCTATTCTTTTCCTTCTGATTAATTTCCAGATGTTAGTAGTTGCGCACGGAAGAGCATCCATTTGTAGATATAACTTTTACATACATTTTGAAATCTTTAATGGCAATCTATGTGATTGTTTTAGAACATCCCTTTTATCTAGAAATCAGATACGTTTCTTTTAACTCTCTAGAAAATATGCTTTCTCGGGCATATCAGAAACCCCCGCTTTTTTATTCACATTGATGTCCTTTGCTTCATGAAAGACAGATTATATATTTTCAATACCGTGTTTTCTTTTTAACTTCAGTGTTGATAGGGCTTCGCTTGTTGTCTCTATCAAAACATTCCATTTTAGCTATCATTTTCATCACATGATTCGATACCTAACTATAATTGTCTCTGCTGTTGCATTTTGGGTATAGTTAGGTTGGGGTTGCTGAAATGAAAGTAGCCGTTGAAAGTACCGGTGGTCTCGTTGTTCTGTCTGAAAGTTTTGGCCATTCTGTATTTAAAGATTCCTTCAAGAGGGTGTTTGAAGATGGCGAGCAGTCTCTTGGTCTCTGCTTCAAGTATGTTTCTGCTCTGCTTCTGTGTCAATACTTTGCTATTATATCTTCTGTTGAGTTGGTGTTGCAAGATAAAGAATATTTTGGCAATTAAGACCCTTTCTTGTAGAGCATTATGCATAATACTGCTTGTATGCTATGATAATATATATTTTGCATTCCTTAGACCGAACTAACTCCGAACCTTTCATTTTCAGTGGCACGCTTGAGATCAATTGTTCAAAAGACATCAAAATTCAAGGGGTTATCGGGCCTTGCTCATCATTAGAAAAGGTTTTACCTGGAGTGCTTAGAATCCATTTTCTTTCAAGATGTTTTTTTTTTTTGCTTGGTGAATGAATAAAGCTATCTGTATTAATTGATGTTAATTTATTTTCATTTGATGCCTTGCAGAAAGGTCCCAATGTTGCCGACACAGTCATTGGAGAGGGGAATACCAGTGCTTGGAAGTTGTGTGGCCTCGACAAGAGTACCTGCTTGACTGTATTCTTTGATCTATCTTCAACCGGGTCAAATGCTCCTGGAGCTGTAAATCCTCAGTTGTATTTGCAGTTTGTCACAAGGTATTCTGGTAGCTTTTGTTTGTCTCTTATTTTCCTTCATTATTTTTTTGTTAAACCTTTTATCTTTCTGCATTAATTTATTACTTTATCTCTTGAAGCATTGGATTTACTGTTGTTGACTCTATTGCAGTTACCAAAACCCTGAAGGTAAAAGTTTGCTCCGGGTTACAACTGTAACCAGACAGTGGGTGGATACTGCTGTGAGCACAGAGGTAGTCTTGTTTTCTGCCAAACTTACCACTTTATACCAATGTTATACGCAATTGGGTTTATATGTAATCTACTAGCTCTTTTACCGCAGCACTGTTTATTATGTTTTGGTAGCATTGCTATGTTAGGATTATAACCTATAAATCTGCTAGCAAGTTTTATTATTTGCCTTTAAGTGAATATGCGGTTAACAATAATATTGTTAGGCATGGTATCATTTTTTGTTCTCATTTTGGTCAACCGATAAATAATTTCCATTTCTCACTGGTGTAATTAGTAAAAGCTATTTACTGTGAATATAAGCAAAAAGCTTTAGTTTTTGGGATTTCAACGGGACTTCACATCTTTCTTTCTTGGAAAAAATTGGTTTGTTAGGATAAACATGGATCCCTTAAATACCGTTACAGTATAGCATACTATGATTCATAATGCTTTATTTTATATGATTCCTAATCCTTAGCCTCCCATGGGTGTTTCGCGGTAAATTCATATCATGTGAATCTCAGAATTATGGTGTTGGTTGCATGATTTTGACATTTTATCCTTATGTTAATGCTAGTACCAGCTTGATAGCCAATTTCTTTTACATTTTACTATTGTCATGGAATCAATAATAACTGTGGTTAGGGTTACCATTCATGTAAATGTGTTATGGTGTTCAAATAGTCAAAAGTTTTCTGGCAAGCAAACATTTTCTGACAATGGTTGCTGTATACATTCTCAGGAACTTGTGCAAGGCTTTGACCAAGAAACTGCTGCTGTGGTTATGGCAAGATTAACTTCCTTAAAAATGGAAACAGAGGTACCTTACATCATCTTCTCTTTGCTTACAATATGTGAGTTAATTTGACCGTGAATTTTTTGATGCTGTTGGGGTAAGGGTTAAGCTCATATTGCTTTTGATGAATTAAAATATGGGTTTTCTTCTCCTGGCCATATTTATCTACCTGGGGTTCAGGATCTTTGGTCAAATGTTCATCTATATGTCCAAAGGAAGTAAAACTTTACTTTTCACACAACTGAACTTTATTAATAAAGCAAAATAATTGAGGTGGATTACAGTTGTTCCTTGAGAAAACGTCAAAGACTTCTTCCCTTTAGCATCTTTATGAGGAACTATTGTGGCTCTATGATATGTAGCTTTCATCTCTTTATACCAATAATTTGTAGTCTGTGTGAGGCTCATAGTGAAACTCTAAGTAGTAGTTGCTATATACTCCTGTCTTATTGCAGTACTTTGTTTAGTGTTGTCTACTTTATTTTTGTGATAGTGTTACTCACGTATACAGTCTATTATGTATTACTTCAGGAGGGATTTGATGCTACTCGGTGGCTAGATCGGACTCTCATTCGTCTGTGTTCAAAATTTGGTGAATATAGAAAGGATGATCCAACCTCGTTTACGCTGAATCCCTATTTTTCATTGTTCCCTCAATTCATGTTTAACTTGCGGCGGTCACAGTTTGTTCAGGTAGACTACTGTTTTCAGATTTCATCATTATCTGCCTTTATGTAATTGGCCTACATAGTTGAATCATGTTTTCTTTTGCGGTGTTGGAATGGTGGCAGGTTTTTAACAACAGTCCTGATGAAACCGCATACTTCCGCATGCTGCTAAACCGGGAAAGTATTTCAAATGCAACTGTCATGATCCAACCATCTCTGACGTCATATTCATTCAATGCACCACCTCAGCCAGCTTTGCTGGATGTGGCTTCCATTGCAGCTGACAAGATTCTTCTATTAGATGCATATTTTAGTGTTGTTGTCTTCCATGGAATGACTATAGCGCAATGGCGAAACATGGGTTATCATCATCAGCCTGAACATGAGGTAATGCACGCTTTATACCTGTAACTGTTTGTTTATTTGTAGAAGCATTTTTTACCATCATTTTACACTTTCGTAGCTATAAAATAATATGTCCTTTTGAGTTGGGTTGTTAACATGACATCGGTTTAGGGTAGAAATCCAAATTGAGACATCTAGTTTAGGAAAAATACTCTTCAGTGCTGGTTCCCTTTAAATGCAAGTGAAATAAGTTGGGTTGTAGCAACTAGCAAGGTTAAGAATCTCTACCATGGGGTCTCATTTTGTGACATCTTTATACCATCATTAATTCTATGATTTCCTAAATCTTGGATGTCTCGTGTCAGGCCTTTGCTCAGTTATTGCAAGCTCCTCAAGAGGATTCCCAGATGTTAGTCCAGGAACGTTTCCCAGTCCCGAGATTAGTTGTGTGTGATCAACATGGATCACAGGTTAGCATTCACATATGTTTTAATCTTTTTTTCAGCTCGACTGTGATGATCTGTTTCATCTGTGTGGGATTGATCTGATGGTTTTCATCACCGTATCCTTAAACTTTACACCCTTTAATACTGCAGGCAAGGTTTTTATTGGCTAAGCTGAATCCATCAGCGACTTACAACAATGCAAACGAGATGTCAGCTGGGTCAGACATAATCTTCACTGACGATGTGAGCCTGCAAGTCTTTTTTGAGCATCTTTCGAAACTGGCCGTGCAATCCTGAGCAAAGTAGTCACAGTCCCAGTTTTTTTTTGCTTAAATTATCCATATCTTCCTGATTACCCGCATGCCCGTTTGTACCATTTTAGAGCTCTTTGTTATTTTGGTCTCACATAAGATACATCTTGGAAGGTACTCAGCATAGTTGAAGTCTTTTATTTGCATTGAGATTTGTCTGGAGTACAGAGATTTACTATTTGCTTCTTTTTTTTTTTTTGTTTGGGATGAAATCTCTTGTATGATCAATTCAATTATATGGTTTGGGTCTGTGGCTTTAGTACTTTTGGACATCTTCTCTGCTTCTGATCCAGTATGTTGCGTTACTGCGTTTTCTGAACTTATTTTTTTGCTGAGCTCTGAATCCAAATGATGCTGCGACATTGGTTACGGAGTTTTCCTACTGACCTTGAGATCATCACGCCCTCTCTGGATCAGCCAATCAACTGTAGCTTTTCTTTGTGTCTGATCACTAAATTGATCGAATTTGGAAGCTCAAGTAATTCATTTCTTTTGATTGAAATGGTTTTCCTTGGAGAAGAAGATCAAGATGAGAAGCATTATCTGTTAATGTATTTGTGAATCCATAAGATCCAAAATTACTGTTTTTTAATTATATATCATTTGACATAAAGATCACTTGCAGGGTTGGTTTTCTGCACTATCCAGCCTATATGCATTACACATTTAAATGCACCACTGAAACAAACCAAAACCGTCATAATGCAAAACATGCTGTAGTAGCTAAAGACTGTTTTCAAAATCGGACGGGGACACCGAACCATAAAAGCTTTTGGGACGAGGTTCAACTGGGTTTACAAACAATTAACCGGGTTTATACATTTATAGAGAGAGGCATATAAATACCAACAACAAAAAACTCTTCTTTGTGCTCTAACAATTGAAACTTTAGCTTGTATAAGTTTCTGTGCACTTAGAATAAATTAGTGTACAGATTTCTGATATACAAGCCATAGAGTTTGAAGAGATACTTGAATCAGCAGATTGGTACACCATATCAATAGTCATCTCCCATTGCTCTAATCCTTTTACTGGAACACCATACAATATGTTCAATGCTTTTCCATACAGTAGAACATTCTCATTCTGAGGCTACCATTTGTTTTATTTGAAAAGAAACTTTGTTCTGTCTCATCTAACAGAGATTTTGAACTTTGTAACCCTTATTGACCATCTTGGCCCAGCAAGGTCTTTTAGCAAATTCACATACAAATAATGTCAGCAGCATGAACTTGGATGAAGTGGATTCTGACCCTATGCAGACAGCTGAGACTGTAGTCGCTAGGCCTTGTTTAAATGTCTTATTTGCTGAGGAAATCAATGATCCGTTGCTTTCCACTAACAGCGAGGTGAAACATGCCGTAGTAGCTAAAGACTATTTTCAAAAATCGGACCGGACACCACAACTTTTCCATGTATACAATTAGCTATGTCTGAGCCTCATTACCAAAATCTAGATGTAAGGTTCAACAGCTTTTGGTGCGATTTTGATCTTTACCATTCTGGTAATCTTTCACATGTACAACCAGATAACGCTGAAATCTGCATCCCATCTTTCATATTGAGCTACACCCGGGAACCTTAGAAATCTGCTTCTCCTTCATCAACTGCCTCAGACTCTCAGCTTCGTCAAACCGACCTGCAGCTGAATATAGACCGGCCAACGTTACATAGTAACTACCTTTTCTCGGCTCAAGTTGAATCAGCTTCCTCGCCACTCTTTCCCCTACTTCTACATTCCCATACACCTTGCACCCACTCAACACCGCACCCAAAACAGCCTCATCAGGTTCCACGGGCATATCTTCCAGAAACTTCTCTGCTTCCTCCAGAAGACCTGCCCGAGACATACAATCCGCCACACTAGCATAGTGTTTTAGTTCAGGAACTATTTTATATTCCTGCATTAGTCTGAGATACAGCCAAGACTTTTCCACAAGACCGCCATGGGCACAAGCTGATAAGACACCAAGAAAAGTGACAGCATTGGGTTCAATTCCTTCCTGAAGCATCTCATCAAAGAGTTTTATAGACACTACCACGTCTCCATCCAAGCCATAACCCAAAATAAGAGAGCTCCAAGAGATCACATCTCGTCTCGGCATATTTACAAATACTGTGTGCGCATAGTCCAGTATGGAGCACTTTACATACATATCTGTTATCGCATTTCCAAGATTCAAACCGAAGCAAGAACATCTTCGGATACACCATCCATGGACACTCTTCCCATGCTTCAACGCTCCAAGTTGTCCACAAGCCATAAGTAAACTCACCATTACCACTGAATCCAGCAAAAATCCAGAATACCTCATTTCTCTAAACACGGCCAAGCCCAACAGAGCTTCACCTTGCTGAACATACCCACCAAACATAGCTGTATAAAGAACAGAGTCTCTCACAGGCATATCATCGAACAACTTACGTGCATGTAAAATTTCGCCCAAATCTACATACATAATCACTAATGCCGAACGAACAAACAAACTTGCGTTAAACCCAAGTTTCAAACACAGAACATGAATCAAATCTCCAAATTTCGCTTCCCGAGAAGCAGAGCAAGCTCGCAGAACAAGAGGAAGCGTAAAATCATCAGGCCTAACGTTGGACTCTCGCCACATACGAAGAAACATTCCTATCGAAATCGACGCAAACCCCGATCTAGAGAACTCACCGATGATTATATTCCAAGAGAAAATGTTGCGACAAGGCATGTGCCAGAAGACAGAAAGCGAAGTGGGAAAGAGATGATTCATCTTGGAGTAAGCGAGAACGAGCTTGGAGCTGAGCACAACGTTGGAGTAGAGAGAGGTACGAAGAAGATGAGCATGGAGATGGCGTAGATGCTTAGCGTTTTGGGAATGATGAAGAAGAGAGAAGAGATCAGGAGGATTCTGTGTGGTTACCGAGAAAGCTCGAGCTTTCAAGAACATAGCCAAGAGATTCTTCGCCGGAGACGAGTAGAAGGAAGAGGAAGATGCTAAGTGCATCGCATCACAAAATCCAGAGAACAATGGAAGATGATGATTTGAGTAACGAGGGAGAGAAAGGAAATGCCTTGATCATCATTTCTGGTTAACTAATTTATCCAAAATTTATATCAAAATCTTAAATAGTGTATATTTTAAGGATCTATATACTATGTTGCATGGAAACTCTCTTCAAGGTCCGTTTTCCGTTTCCGAAACGTTTCGGAAACACAAAAACGTCACGGAAACACGTTTCCTAAAATCTATGTTTGGAAACACGATGGAAACTCACGTTTCCAAAATGGAAGCGCGACAAATTCTTTTTATTAACTTTAGAAACTTAATAAATAAAAATTAGAAAATATTAAGATTTATAATACATATAATTAATTTTGGAAGACTCTGAGTTTTAAGATCTTTCTATCGACAAACTAGATTTGGAAGCATTTTTATATGATTTATGATGAAACTAATAAAAATGAGAATGAAAATGTTGGTCTAAATTAAATATTTGAACTTGAATTTTTTAATCTTTATCTTTTAGAATTTTAGTTAACCTATTTAATATTGATGTTTTGAACTTGTATTGTTTAATTAAACCATTTTTTAATAGTTTTATGTTAATGTTATATATATATATACATATATTATATATATGTATGTGTATACGTTTCCAAAACGTTTCTAATCCCTAATTTTAGATAAAAATCGTTTCTCGTTTCCGAAACGTTTCGCTTCCACGTTTCCGTTTTCGTTTCCATGCAACATAGTCTATATAGATATATAATAATGTGATTTCGTCGTTTAAAGCAAAATATATCTATCGTAAACATGATAAGAATAAAATCGTTGATATCGTTATTTGACATGATTTTATTCACGGAATCACTGCAAAAAAAATAGTAGTCGTGAAATTAATTAGAGCTCAAAAGAGTTGAAAAATGTTGTTTACATATATGTAATATGAAGCGGTTCTGTACGAATTTTTCGTGCCAGATTATCCGCTTTAACATTAGTCCTACGAGAAATTAAAGATAAAAAAAAAAAATGAAAACTTCTCCTTGTCGATCTGAAATTCCTCCAATTACATTGAAAACGTCGGCCATTCGGTTGGAAAAGACACCATAAATTTTGTAGTCGTGAAATTAAAATAATCATTTGTAACAAAAAGAAAAATTATAATATAGTTACTAAATTATAAATTCGAAATACTGCATTATTTTTAAATAATCTATTTTTGAATTTGATTTTAATGATTTTCTTAATTTACCAAAAAAATTTGGTTGAGAAAAAAAAATCTAATTCAAAAAAAAATAAAAAAATTCTTTGTTTGTGAGAAAAATTAAGACGCCATTTTTCTAGTTCGAAATTTCCAGTCCCTCTCTTTCGCGCTCTCTCAATGTTCTTCCTAGACTCACAGCAGCAAGACTCCGATCATCTCCTCCATGAATCTATGGCGGATCCAGACCATCAATCTCTGTCCCCGCAATGCGCGAACGGCCACCGATCCACAATTTCTCTCCGCGCCGACCAAGGCGGAGTATTCTGCTTCATCTGCTTCTCCAATCTCGTCTCCGACCAACGCGTCCCCACCGTCCACGTCTCCTACGCGCTTCACCAGCTCTCAATTGCTCTCTCTGAACCTATCTTCCTCCGAACCCTACTCTCCTCTCATATCCACTTTCTCGTATCGCCTCTCGTCCACGCTCTCTCTTCGATTGATGATGCTCCAATCGCAATCCAGATTATGGATATGATCTCTCTTCTCTGTTCCGCTGTGGAATCTTCAATCGGCGAGGATTTTGTGGAGAGAATCTCCGATCAGCTCTCTTCTGGTGCTTTGGGTTGGAGCCGAAGACAGCTCCATATGGTATTGTTACCTTTCTAGGGTTTTAATTGGGGATTCTCGTTGATATTTTCATGAATCCATCTAATTAGATTTAGATCTGCAATTGCGACTCATCTGAGCATGGATAAGCTTGTTGCAGTTGCTGAAGTTTTCTGCTAATGAAATCTCTTATACATTTCTTAATATCTGTGTTTTGCAGCTTCACTGCTTTGGCGTTCTGATGAATTGTGAGAATATAGACGTCAATTCCCATATCAGAGATAAAGAAGCTCTTGTTTGCCAACTCGTTGAAGGTCTTCAATTACCAAGGTAATGTGCATAAACCACTTGGTGAGCACTGTTCTTACTATCTTGTATGGGGACTGTTGTGATTTATCCTGTTTGTTATCTTTTTTTTTTCTCATACTAGTGAGGAGATCCGCGGTGAAATCCTTTTCGTTCTGTACAAGTTTTCTGCTCTACAGTTCACAGAACAAAATGTTGATGGCATTGAAGTTCTTTCTTCATTGTGTCCTAAGCTCTTATGCCTATCTTTGGAGGCTCTTGCAAAGACACAGAGAGATGATGTTCGCTTGAATTGTGTAGGTTCGTATGAGTTATTTTTATCTATCTGCTTCATTCTTATGCGGTAGACATATTTTCACCTTTAACTCAGCCATGAATAGATTTGCATTGTCATATCCTAAAGACTTAGTTCTCCCGCCTGATAGTCTTGTCGCGCTTAAGTAATAATTCAGCATTTTCCATTGAAAAAATGTTTGGTGATATTGACATTGGCTATAGAAAGACTGGAAAACCATGAAAAAACTGTTAATGCCTTTCCATAAAGCAGTAGTACATTCTCAGTTTGAGTCTCCAATCATTATTGTTGTTACTGTTTCTTTATAATTTGGTATTTCAGCTAACAGAGAAATTTGAACTTTGTAGCCCTTTTGACCATCTTGGCCCAGCAAGGTCTTTTAGCAAATTCACATACAAATAATTTCAGCAGCATGAGCTTGGATGAAGTTGATGATGACCCTATGCAGACAGCTGAGACTCTAGTCGCCAGGCCTTGTTTAAATGTCTTATTTGCTGAGGCAATTAAAGGGCCGTTGCTTTCCACTGACAGTGAGGTGCAAATAAGAACCCTTGATCTTATCTTCCACTACGTATCCCAAGAGAGTAAACCAAGCAAACAGATTCAAGTTATGGTAGACGAAAATGTTGCTGATTATATATTTGAGATACTGCGGTTATCAGGTATTGGTAGTCTCCGTGAATAAGTTAATAGTATACTGCTCTTGGGCATTCCTTTATACTGGACAGACTATAAAGTTTTCCAGACACTAGCTGAAGGTTGAGAAGCTAAGAAATGAAATTATCATTTACCTCTTTCAGATGTCAAATGCATATTTCATTGTTTCCTTCACAAATTTAACAACTTGTTCAGTTAGTCTTTTTTTTAACTTGCTGTTTTGTCCTCTGGAAGCTCACATCTGCACGAGCATTGATATATTTATTATTTTCTGTATCTGATTGATGTGCTTTTCATGAACAGAATGTAAAGATCAGGTCATCAACTCATGCCTCAGAGTTCTTGATCTATTTTTCTTAGCCGAGCAATCCTTTCGGAAGAGACTTGTTATTGGGTTTCCTTCAGTCATCCAAGTGCTTCACTATGTAGGTGAAGTTCCTTGCCATCCTTTTCAAATCCAGACACTGAAGCTTATTTCGAGCTGTATTTCAGATTTCCCTGGGATTGCTTCTAGTACTCAAGTTCAGGAAATTGCTCTGGTTCTGAAAAGGATGCTTGAAAGATATTATTCTCAGGAGATGGGATTATTTCCGGATGCATTTGCGATTATCTGCTCAGTCTTTGTTTCCCTTATGAAAACTCCATCTTTTGCGGAGACTGCAGATGTGTTAACATCATTGCAAGAATCCTTGAGACATGCTATTTTGGCCTCTCTTAGTCCCCCTGAGAAAGATTCAACCCAGATATTGCATGCAGTCTACTTACTCAATGAAGTATATGCATATTGTACTGCACCAACATCCATAAACAAGACCAGTTGCATTGAGTTAAGACACTGTGTTATAGACGTGTGTGCATCACATCTATTGCCGTGGTTTCTTGCTGATGTCAACGAGGTCAATGAGGAAGCAACTCTTGGCATAATGGAAACTTTCCATTCTATTCTGCTACAGAATTCAGATATTCAAGCCAAGGAGTTTGCAGAGATGCTTGTTTCAGCAGATTGGTTCAGCTTTTCATTTGGATGTCTTGGAAACTTTTGTACGGCTAACATGAAACAGAGGATATATTTGATGCTCAGTTCCCTTGTTGATGTTCTTCTCGAACAGAAAACGGCGTCACATATCAGAGATGCTCTTCATTGTCTTCCTTCGGATCCACAAGATTTGCTGTTTTTGCTCGGGCAAGACAGTTCCAATAATCAAGAATTGGCTTCTTGCCAGTCCGCAGCTCTGCTGATTTTCCATACCAGTTGGATGTACAATGACAGGTGAATTAGGTTTTTGATTTTGAATCATGATTTTGATCGATGCACTAAGGATCTGTAATCTATCTCTCTTCCTTTTTGCAGGCTTGCAGATGATAAGCTGGTTTTAGCTTCTTTGGAGCAATACATTATTCTAAACAGGACAAGTTTAATATGTGCATTCTCTGATTCTCCAGTTATGCTCAACCTAGTGAATCTGTATGGTCTTTGCAGGAGTCTTCAAAACGAGAGATACCAGGTATCCTACAGTCTAGAGGCTGAGAGAATACTCTTCCATCTATTAAACGAATATGAGTGGGACTTGGGTTCCAGTAATATTCATCTAGAATCTCTGAAGTGGCTTTTTCAACAAGAAAGTATCAGCAAAAGTTTAACTTACCAGATCCAAAAGATCTCCCGGACCAACTTAATTGGAAATGAAGTTCACAATGTATATGGAGATGGCAGACAGAGATCGCTCACATATTGGTTTGCAAAGTTGATATCAGAAGAAGACAACTATGCCGCAACTCTTCTGGTTAACTTGTTGACACAACTCGCAGAGAAGGAAGAGCAAGAGAATGATGTTATCTCGATTTTAAATCTAATTACCACAATTGTTTCTATATTCCCAACTGCCTCCAACCATTTTTCTATGATTGGCATTGGCAATGTAGTTCATAGACTCGTTTCTGGTATTAATAACTCAGCCTTGCGAACATCGTTTAAAACACTCCTTCTGCTAGTATTCAACATTTTAGCTTGTGTGCAACCTGGAGTGCTAATGATTGATGAATCATGGGATGCTGTATCGATAAAGGTATGGCCATCTAGACTTGTTCTCCACCAACATTGCCATTTTATCAAAGAGCTCACTGAATCCTCTTTGTTTTGTAGTTGTTAAATTTTTTGAGCTTGCGAGACACTGCCATAAAACAGAACCATGAAGATGTGATGGTGATTGGCATTCTTTCATTGGTTCTGTACCACTCTTCAGATGGAGCACTTGTGGAAGCTTCGCGAAGTATACTACTGAATTCGTACTTGGTATCAGCAATCAACACTGTGGTTGATGTAGCTTGCTCAAAGGGTCCAGCACTGACTCAGTATCAGGATGAAACTGACATCGGGGAGGCTCTAGCATTCACGTTATCTCTCTATTTTTTCTCATTAAGAAGGTAGCGTCTGAAATTGTTTAAACTGTTAGATCCTACTTCTAACCGTTCCCTAACTCCCTTTTGGCCTTTTAGTTTGCAGATTGTTCTAGCTGGAGCAGTAGATTGGCAAACTTTCTTTGGCACGTCGACCAGCCTAGAAACACTACCCGTAGTCTGCATCCATTGCCATAATTTGTGCAGGTTGATGCATTTTGGAGCACCACAAATCAAGCTTATCGCCTCTTATTGTCTTTTGGAGTTGCTCACTGGACTATCAGAACAGATTGACATAAAAAAAGAGCAACCACGGTGTTCATCAAGTTACCTGAAATCAATGAAGACTGTTTTAGGTGGTCTTGTATTCTGTGATGACATAAGAGTAGCGACAAACTCTGCGCTTTGTCTGTCCATGATTTTAGGTTGGGAAGACATGGAAGGAAGAACAGAGATGCTTAAGACCAGCTCATGGTACAGGTTTATTGCAGAAGAAATGTCAGTTTCCTTGGCCATGCCTTGTTCAGCATTTAGTGCATACGTGAACCACCACAAGCCAGCAGTCTATCTAACCGTTGCCATGCTAAGACTCAAGAACAAGCCAGTGTGGCTGGGAACTGTTTTTGATGAGTCTTGCATCTCTAGCATGATTCAAAATCTGAATGGGATAAATATCAGCAGAGAGATTGTAATATTGTTTCGAGAACTTATGCAGGCTGAGCTATTGAATTCCCAGCAAGTGACCAAGTTGAATCGTGCATTCCAGGTTAGTAATTCAGATAAGGTTAGTCGATATAGGTTTTGAATACATCAAATCGATTTCATAAAAATCTCTGGTCCTGCAGGAATGTAGAAAACAAATGCACAGGAATGGAACTCGAGATGAGGCAGTTGAAGAACAAGTGCAACTGAAAATTTCCTCAATCCATGATCATAGTGAGCTCTGCAACTATCTTGTTCATTTGATGGTATCTAATTCATTTGGACACACAAGTGGAAGCCAAACATACACCCAGAAGAAGAAACAGATTCTCGACGAAATGGAACAATTCTTCGAGCTATTATCAGGGAATGATGTAACTGATACAAGACCGTGTAAGGTCTATACAAGAAGAAACAAGACAAATGCAAACAGAGAGAATCGTGTAGAAGGGGAGACTTGAGAGAAGCTTACAAGTGTTAGTGTCTACATACAGTCTAGTGTTTGTATAGGTTCAAATTTACATACTAAGGTACAGTTTTCTGATTCTTAACCACAACTTCCATTAGATACTGGTAAGTCCATGCCTTCGATTCTTCCCCTCTCATACCAAGAGACTGGTTCTTCACTTCTTCACAACTCTTAAGAAACTTCCCTTTCCCAAAAGCAGCATGAACCAAAGGGTCTGTCTTCATTTCCACAGGCTTATCAAGAAAACCAATCTTTTTCCAAGTCATGAAAACTCCAGTAACGTCGAACCCAGCTTCGCTCAAGTCGAAGATAATCCCTACAGTTACAAGATCAAGCTTCACATGTTTTGTCCGTAGCTCAGAGAGTAACAGCTCAATGCTCTTAAAATCTCCCATCTTTGAGTAAGCTAAAAGTGTGATATTGGCAAAAGTTGTATTCCAAGGAACTCGAGCTTCTTTCATCTCTTTAATAACATAATCCAAACCTTTCCGACTCACAAGTCGGGCATGACACAGAAGCCTGAGACACCAAGCCAGATCGGTCCTACGGGTTCTAGAGGAAGAAATGCCACGACCCAAATCATCAAGCCTCGAAAACATGAGGTTATCAATGTAAACATTAGCTAATTTTCTAACTAAACCCTCATCCAGAGAGATCCCAAACCTTATTATCTTGTTACACGTTTCTTCCATCTTTTCAATTAGCCCAAACTCGGCATAAGCTTCAAGCATGGACAACAATGTAGAAGGCTCCAGAGTCATCTTCCTCGACATCAAACTCTGATACATTTGCTCCATTCTCTTAAGCAACCCTCCTCGGGAAAACTCGCGTATGAGTAGATTATAAGTAACATGGTCACGCACACAACCTTCAGACTCCATTCTCTTGAGACACAAAACAATCTCATCATACATTTTCCATTTACCATATGCTTCAATCAAGCCATCGTATGTCTCGGTTATCGGTAACAGACCATTCTCTTTCATATGATTTAAGTAGAACATAGCTTCCTCAAACTTCCCTTCATCAGCATAACCATGGATGATTGAATTATATATTTCTAAAGACGGACTTAGCTCATGATCATCAATCATACCGCGAAAAGCTCGAATTGCTTCATTCATCGATTTTTCCTCACATAAAAGCCTTATAACCCTCTCGTAATTAGCCTCGCTTATTCGTGAACGCTCAAGATTCTTCCACGCATCAAAAACCTGCAATTGAGAAAAAGTCTTCATCTTCATGTTTTCACATTTCATGAGAGATAGATATAAAGGAGAGTAAGTTACAGGAAGAATCTCGTGGAGTCTTGAGGAGTGACGGAGAAAACGAATAACAGCCCAGAAATGGTCTTTGCTCCAATCTCCATATTCCTGAAGCAACCGTAGAGGACATGAACCGGGAAGTTCGAGCCGCCGTGGCAATGAACTGAGAAACCGGTGGTGGTGGTGGATAAGAGAGGTGGACTGCGACGCGTCGCCATTGATAGACAAGGGCAAAGCACGGCGGAGAGAAGAGAGTTTAGATATTGAATAGGAGGTAGAATTGAGAAAGCTTGAGTTCAAATTCCATGGTGGAGGAGGTGGATTCTTCTGTAGCGTCGCTCTGTGGAGAAATTGCGCCGTCGTCAGATTCTCCATTACACTCTTTCGAAGCTTTCTGCAAAAGTTTGAACCTTTTCCGAAACAATGGCTGGAAAGCCACTTTTGGAAAAAAAAAAAAAAGGCTGGAATGCCACCTCTAATTTTTAATTTCATTTAACATTTTTTTTTTAAATCAAAAACTAAGGAAATGTCAAAAAAACTCTTTCAAAAGATCAACAATTACAAAATCATACCTCAAATTTACTATCTCTACAACCAAACACTCCCATCGATCTCCAATCACAATCATGTCTACTTCTCTCCGCACAACCACCGCTGCTTCTCGTCTCAGTCGTCTCTTCCGCTCCTCCTCCTCTTCCATATCCACACTCGCTCTCTCCGCTTCCTTTCTCTCTATTTCGCCAGATCTATCGTCTCTTCTCCACTTCTTTATTATTCATCTCTCTCTCACATATGCCTCACCCTCTCTTCTAAATCTTTACCGGAGAGCCGTCACGTTTCTCCTAAGGGATCTCCGTTCAAAATTGGGATTCCCAAGTTTGCGATCGTATTCAATGATAATAAGTTCACTCAGTTTTCGCCTCTTTATTCTACGATCCCCCCCCCCCACATCCTCCTCAGTTTCCGCCGTCGCGACATCAGAAGACTGCTCTACCTTCTACTGCAACGATTGTGTCTCGAAATATATAGCTGCAAAATTACAAGACAACATCCTCTCAATCGAGTGTCTTGTCTCTGGTTGCAAGAGCTCTGTTCGGCTCGAGCCAGATAAGTGTCGTCAAATCTTGCCAAGAGAGGTTTTTGATCAGTGGGATGATGCTCTTTCTGAAGCAGTATTGATGCGTTCAAAGAGATTATATTGTCCTTATAAGGATTGCTCTGCTTTGCTTTTCATTGACAAGAGTGAAGTGAAGATGAAAGATTCGGAGTGTCCTCATTTCCATAGAATGGTGTGTGTAGAGTGTGGGACTAAGTGGCATCCTGAGATAACTTGCGAGGAGTTTCAGAAGCTAGCAGGGAACGAAAGAGGAAGAGATAATATTTTGCTCGCGACGATGGCAAAGAAAAAGAACTGGAAAAGATGTTATTCTTGCAAACTCTATATTGAGAAGTCTCAGGGTTGCTTATACATGAAATGCAGGTATATGTATATTCTTCTTCTTCTTATCACCTGTGATGCAAATTTGTGAAACAATGGTTTTTTTTAATAATTTTTGGAAATCGATTTCGTAGGTGGATGCTGTGTTGTCGTTGTTGGGTGGTTCTACTGAGCTTGCTCCTGGTCCGCATATGTTTCGAGAAGAAAGTAAGATACGGTGTTCGCCAAGAAATGGCCTTAAGGTCAGTGTATCATCAGTCTTGAGTTTTACCAACTTATGCCAAAAGCTGTTACAATCCCAATTAGTTAGCAGAAGATTTTAACCAGTTTCTTAGGCCTACGGAACCATTAGTATTGAGCTAGCTTTTGTTAAGTTGGATGTTAACAAAATACATGAGTAGTTAGTTTTAAATGTCACATTTGAAGAGGCTGGACATATTTCTTCCACATTTCCTGGGATCAAAAACATTGTAATCTTATATAGCTCCTTTTGGTGTTGAGAGATCCTACTGTGCCAAGGTTTGTGTTGTGGAATGGGAAACTGCTATGTTGCCATCTCTTTTGCTTCGTTAATGGATGCATAAATTGCTTGAAGAGATTTCTAGAAGGCAAGGAGAGTTTAGATGATAGAACTAGGTGTAATACTTTTTGCTTGATTTTGGGTAGATGCAAAAAGATTAAATCATATGATTATGTTAGTGACTAATGCCCATGGCAACACATGACTTATGTTTTCGATTAAGCTTTTTATTTATATGTATCATATTGTATGCAATCGTTTATTTAGGTACAACTGGTATATTTAGGTACAACTACGTATAGGTACAACTGGTATATTTTGGTTTTGTAGTGTTGCTCTGTCAAAGATAGAGGATAAGTGGAAGGAAGAGCTTGATCAAGAACTGGAAAGAAAGCGCATAAGTTAAGTCTGCACGTACTTGTGGATTAAGATTGCACATGACTTATGTTTTTGTATTTCATTTTTGTATTTTGTTGTGTTGTGGATTAAGAACATATGACTTCTTATTTTTGTAAACCAAAATAATATTTAGATTATATTTATGTTCAATTGGTTTTGTAGATACAACTAGTCTATTTAGGTACAACTATGTGTATGAATTACTTATAAGAAAGTACAACTAGATCACTTTGGTACAACTGAGACAATTAAAAATAACATTTAAAAAAACAATTTTTAATAAATTTCAAAGAAGTAAAAAAAAAAAATTATCCACGTAAGCATCATTTTTGGCGGCGGGATATTATTTTTAATCCACGTAAGCATTATTTTGGCGGCGAGATATTATTTTTTAATCATCACATGTGTGGTAAATTGTTTTGCTTTAAACATAGTTGTACCTAGTTGTCTAGTTGTACTGTCATATTCATAGTTGGATTTTTGTGATTTTTGTGTATTCCAAGTTGGACTCTAATAAAAATTAGTAATTTCTAGTTGGACACATGATGTTACACTATTAATTATCGTTTAAGAGGTTTTCAGAATACAATTTGCACGAAATCATAATTTTCACCTCTTTTGCATCAAAAGAAGTGATCACCTACAAAGTGTTCCTTATACTATAAGGAGTGTTTCATATGAAAACAATAGTATGCACTAGGAAAATGATAAATTCGAGTTTTACTTATTTAAAATTATTTCTTTATAGTTCAACATGTTTTTAGAATCCTTATTAACTCTAATTTATCGTTTTCATAATTATTGAATACAAATACGGATACATTTATGATCTTAGTTGTACCTTATCGAACCTAATTATACCTAATTGAACATAGTTGTATGAATACGACAAGTACATATACTGATACATATATGGTTATAGTTATGGTCTTAATTGTATCCAGTATAGTTATGGTATTAGTTGTACCAGTCAAACCCAGTTGTACCCAGTCGAACATGGTTGTACGACAAATACAAAAGATTTTTAGTCATTTATCTTCCACAATATCATATATTTACTTTGAAATTAATATACTAATAATTTTAAAAATATAATCAGTAAAAGCTTTATATATGAAAATGCATGAGAAGCTTACAAATTTGATACTCAAAGTATAACGTCGTTAGCAATAATATAATAACCAAATTTATTCTCTCTATCTAACCAACATTTATAAAGTATTGGAAAATATTTCGTCACTTTGTAGAAACATAACAAAGTATTTGATATAACCCAAAAACATTCCAAATCTTGAGAATGGGCAAATACTCAAATCTAAGCAAGAGCATGCATATCCTTGATCCATTGGTCCAATGACTTACCAATAGAGTAAACAATAAATCCTATCTTCCCCAGCTTCTCTACATCAACAACATTTCTATACCATCAAAGACAAACGCTGGTTTCTGCATCTTTTCAAAAATCCTCTCATAGTCAAGCGTCTTACATTCATCCCACTCAATTAACAAGCAGATTCCATGGGCGTCTTTAGTGGCATCACAATTAAAAATCCAAAGACTGTGATGATCCATCTTGAGATCACATCTTTGACCTGCATAAGGAAAACATGGATCGAGTAAAGCTTTCTTTCTCTATCACTAAAAAGTGGTCACCATACAATGAGAATTTTCACTACTAAGCACAACATGGTAGCAAATCAGATTTTTCCTTACACACATTACAATGATGGCAACGAGGCAATTACAAGCAATGGAATTCAAGACTAAAGTATTTTTTGAGGTAATATTTGCCATAAGAACTCATGATTACAGAATTGACAGTTCTCGTTCCCAACATCGAATCCCACCACACTCATCTAAGCGAATCAACAAGAGATCTTAGATATAAAGTTATAAACGCATACTGAAATTCTTGCTCTTCGAAGAGAAATCAAATCAAACGAGAAGGACAAAAGATGAAGAAGACTATACAATGATCTGAAACTTCGAATCGTTTATGCAGGACATCCGGTGACTGAGAGAGCGTTGTCGTCGTCGTCGGAGCGTTGTCGTCGTCGTCGGAGCGGTGGTGATTATTGTTGATATCCATCGGAAGATTGAGGAACTAAGAAAGAATCTCTAAGTTTTATAATGGCGTAAGAGAGAGGAGAACAAACCGATTGCGAGGGCGAGACGCCGGAGACAACGGCTGGCGAGATCGGCGGTGCGACCTCTGGTTTGGGAGGAGAGGATGCGAGCAAAAGTTTTTGTTGCTTTTTTTGTTTTTTTTTTTTGTTTTAGATTTTAAAAATTAATTAAATCAAAATATTCATTAAGGGCAAAATAGAAATAACACATTTGAGTGGCACTCTCAGACTCTAAAGTGGCAGTCGTGATTCTCATTTCCGGTTCAGTGGCAAACAAGCCTTGGTCTCCTTTTCCAGTGGAATGGATTATTTCCGGTTCTGGTGCGGTTTAATTTGATTTCGGTTTACCGATTCACTTTATTCGGTTTGATCAATTTGGTACCACTCATTCAAGAAAGAGAAATGAAAAAAAAAAAGTCAAACTCAAAAGTGGTCTGCATAAAGTATTTTAAAGCCTAAGCAACAGTAGTTCCTACAAGAACCAAACAACTAACAAGTCTTTGTACTAGCAAGTCTTTAGGATCATTCATCATCTCCTACCATTATACAATAGAGTGGTTTATTTGACATTGGAGCAGCAAACAAATGGCACCCAAAAGGGTCTTCCTTTCACTTTCTTCTCCTCTCTCTTAAAGTCCACTGGATACTTTGCTGGCGAATTCCATTCTTCACTCACTTCTCTTTTCTCTGGCCAGCGACCGTCTTCAGGGGATGTCTCCTGTCCCAGTATCGAACTCACTCTCGGTACGTTGTTACTCTCATGATCCTTTGCTTGTTGTTGTTGTAGCCTTGGTGATCTTGCTTCACTCAGAAGGTTCTTTAGCGGGACATGTTGCTCCTTTTCTGTGCTCCAGCTTGTTGTCTTCTCCAAGGTGATTTCTTGGTTCTGAGATGCGTTTTCCGGTTTGTTAACTCCACCGCTTACTCCTGTTCCATCAAAATCGACTTGGCTATTACAAAGATATACAATACTCGTTTCAATGAGTGATATATATTGAAGAGGGTTTTGTTTTTTATTTTCTCATTAGAAGATGGGATACGTACCTGAAACCGATCCCAAGTTGGATTCAAACGCATTCGATGTATTATTTCTAGTGACTAGCGGACTTGAAACCAGAGATCTAATGTGAGCTTCTGAAAGATTCTGCAATCTTCCAAAATCCCGATGGTCGTTTGATTCTATTGTCACTGGGACCTCAGCATAATAGTTTTGTGCTTGGACATTACCGTCAATCTCATTTGCTTGAATTACCCCCAAGCCACCAACAACTCTATTGAATTCTGTCCTTCCGCTTTCCAGTGACTTCTGATTAGCTGTGTTAACAGTGTCCGGTGCAGTGCCTGTGGATCCAGAATGGCCTATAGGATATTCCGTTGTATTTGTTTCGTTTATGAAACTCCTTTCCTTCACAAGCCTTCCGTTGTTAATCTCTCTGCAAACTTCATCTTTACTTTCACAGAATTCAGCACCGATTTGGAGGGCAGAGTCTTTAGATGTTTCTGAAGAACTTTTTATCTTATCACTTGCATCATCTCCCTCAAATACAACAGATACCGGAGAAACAAAACAAGAGGATTCAGAACTCAGCGTGTCTTTTGGGTTGATCCCCTCCTCAGCTACAACATTTGCTTGAATAAGTTCACTCTCATGACCAACAAGATCAACTAAACCAGTTTTGTTAGCTGCACTGCTCACATCAGCATTCGAGTCAACAACTATAGAATCTACAGCAGGTAGAGAAACTCTCAATGTTTCTGATTCAACAGTGTGTGCATTCCCTAATGATGATTCACCCTCTTCAGCTTTCATTTCAATATCTTCAGAGTCAATCATAGATATCATTATGTTCTCTGCACTGGGAAATTCCTTGATCGCAACCAAATCAGTTTGGCCTTGAGGTTCAGTTTTGTCTCCAACGAAAAGCTTGTCTGATGAAGGAACCTCTGAGCCAATACTTAAGCCTTCAGGATGAATTCCTAAGTTCTCTGCGTCAGTAAGAGTGTTTTCACATTCTTCTCCCTTAGATGTCTCAGGAAGATAAGGATTCACAGAATGACTTGCTTCAAATTCTTCAACGCCTTTGATTCCATGCAAAGAGACATCAGCATTCTCAACAAAAGGCATATCATCAGGAACAGATTGACTGGCACTGATAACCTGAGTTGCATCAGCTTTTACCGGAGAAGTATGAACTGGAACATCCTCACTACCTATACAGCTAGCTTCACCAGGATGAGTCATACTCGTTGCTTCTGATGAAAATCCATAGGGACCCTCCACGTCCGAGTAAATCACTTCATCATTCCACGATGAATCTGAAGTATCCTCTCTCTTTCCTAATGCAGATGCTAACTTTGATTCAGATTCTTCCGTTAACTTGCCTTTGCATTCTGTATCTAATCTATCATTTGATATGGTATCACCACCGTCAATGACCTGAGCTTCCTGTGATGATGACTCAATCACAGTTTCAGATACTATAGAGTGTCCTTCAGTAGAAAACTCTTCACCTTGTCGATCATCGGAAGCTGCTTCAACTGAAGGTGGACCATCATAGTTCTCAAGGATTTCCACGGGTGGAACTTCACAACTCTCTTGAACCACTTTAGGGCTTTTCATCACACCGGCCGTTGATGAATTGTTGCACTGCTGAGTTTCACCTGAGCAGTTCCAGATTCATCAGCTATATAGTCGAAATAAAGCAGGCACATCACACAAAAACATGAAAGCCAATTGGGAATAAAACCAAGAAATGTGATAAACAGATGAGTCAGTGAACTAAATAGTTTCCCTTTGAACTCTATAGTCTACAGGCTTGAGATTTGGTATAAACGTCAAAAGAAACTAAACTAATACTTCATTATCTGATGAACAAAACGTATCAAACACATTAATGTTAGCACTGATAAAACCAAGTCTCATTAGCATCAGAAGGTAAATCCTCTATGAGTTATATATCAAAGGCAGTAAACTCACCGGGATTCTCAGTACCCTTAGCCGCGAAGTTTGTAGCTGTCTCTTCCTTGAAAGAATCAGATCTCGAAAATTCACAAACAGCATCAGTAAACACATCCTCTTCAGAAACATCCCCAACTCTCTCATCAGCTTTTTCCACAACTATTGGACCTTACCTCATCATTAAGCATACATTATAACATTAGCATCAAGGAAAGAAACAAACTTTATCCATCCAAAGCACAAATTGTTCTTACCTGGGGGTTTTTGCTCATCAACCAAGCAGTTTTCTTCCTGCAAATCAAGATTCTGTTTCGTCTTATCGGAATCAAAGATCTCAAATCCTTTGATGGTTCCACAGATTTTCTTGTGAGCACGACGGTTTTTAGCACTAGGATGTGGATTAGGATAACTCCAACCACATTTAGTACAAACATGACAACTCTTACCTCCTCCTATATCATAAGGGTTCACAAAAATCATCAGTGCCCATCTTCCCAAAATTGATAGTTTTTCTACAAAAGACTTCTCTAAAGTCTTAAAAAAAATTAAAAAATCAGAAAGCGAAACCAGTCGTAATCCGAAGAAAACATTTAATAAAATAGACATTAAAAGACAAAAGGAAGAAACCATTATTGCTAGAAAAGTTACACAAAAGAAAAGAATTCATATGAAGAAATAATTCTTATGCGACAAGAGATTAACACACAGTCAAAACCAAACTAGACCCGAGAATGTGACAAGATTAGAGGAAGAAAGATGGAAAATTGAGAGTAAAAGAAGAAAACCCTAAAGACATTGATAATGATTAGGGAAGAACCTGGAGAGTTGCAGTGGTCCTGAGAATCCATGTGTTGTTGGGGAAGAGTCTTTTTGTTTTAGGTTTTTAGAGAATGAATGGAGAGAAGTAACAGTTTCAGTTTTTGGGGAGTTTTAATGTAAAAGCAATGAATGAAAGAGAGGTTTTGGAAAACGAAGAAGCGAAGCAAAAGCCCACTACACTCACTCACTTAACCAAACCTAAACGACGATCTGGTGGGTGGGGCCCAATATTATATTAGTAAGATACATTCGTATATTTGTACGGATTATTATCATTGGCTCATTGCTAATTCTCATGACCAAACAAAATTCCTTAATCATATCATTTGGTGACTTTTGTTTGTTACCAACTGATCGTTGTTACCATTATCTCTCACTAAACAAAATCCAACACATTTAAAATTGATTTAAACAAAAAAAAAAAAAAGGAGTTTATAGGATTCTTTCTCAGATCTTGAGTGTATGTACGGATATTCCGATCCCGTGAATGGAATTTTTTTGGAATTAGAGAATAGAGACTAATTTACTTTTTTTTATTTGATATTTGATTGATATGCTACCTAATACTTATCTTTATCTTTTAGGTGTTTTTTTTAAAATCATGATTTAAGAATCTTTGGAGGTTTTCTCTCTCCAAAAAATTTCAGAGAGGGAGAAACTTCCCGATCAAACTTTTGCTCGCCGTCCAGTTTGATTTGGCGACACATGAATCGAATAGTTTCCCGTATAGCGGGCTCGTGTCTGGCATCTCCGGCTCCTTCAGCGGGGTTGGCTGGCTTTCTTCCGGCAACGGTGGCTTACTTAGCGTCGTCTTGGTCGGCACATCTCCGGCAACGGTGGCTTACATAGTACCGTTTTGGCCGGCTTTCGGGTTTGTCTCAGTCGTTGTTTGGCTTCTCTTCCCGGTGTATCCGGTTTTTTTTTTATTTCTTTTCAAGTTTCAATAAATCTCATCGGGAATGTGTTGATGGTATCGGTTTAAGCGATTAATCGCTTAATGAAGTGTATTATTCGACGCATATTTATAATGCCTTGAGCTGTTATTTCTAATTGGAGCTTCGATTGGTTTACCCCGGTAAAAAACCAAAAGAATCCATGCTCGATATGTTTATCGGCGATGATTCTATTACCGGAATCGGTGCTCGGACGGCAAAGGTTGATGTCGGATTACTTTGGTAATTCATCCAACATGTAATCTGGTTTTCCCAGTTAATGACACGTTGATTTTGATGAAGACAAGATAAAGTTAAAGTTTCTTCTTCGATAGGTTTCTCTGATGGGCTTGTAACTTGTTAGGCCTAAAACATATATGTAATCTGCTGTAGGGCTTTAAATTGCCTATGTAAAGTTTGGTTTGTTTAATAATATATTACTCTTTGAGAAAAAAAAAATAGATTACAAATCCAGTAGAACATGTAGAGTTTGTAGAATACATACTGTAATCTAAATTTTTTAGAACATGTATAGTGTATAGAATTCATAAATCAATTTTTTTTTTACTTTATTGTTATTCATAACAGATTTTAAATATTTTAAGAAATTTTGTATATTCAATCATTTGAAATGATTATATATGTATAATCAAACTGTTACACAATTTTATATTACAAAAAAAAAAACAAAAGGTAATTTGATGTATAACACTGTTACAAACACAACTAAGTGTGGATTTTGGTTACAAACAAAACTAGGTTAAGTACAAGTTAAGTACAAGTATATACAAGGATTTGTGTTGTTGTAAGAAAACTACAAAGGAAAGTAAGCCGTAAAGATCGGTAAGCGGCTAGAAAAACGAGTCTTTGAACAACTTTGTGATTTCTAGTGTGATTTTCGTGTGGTTTTCTTCTGACATACTTTTGATTTCCTGAAACTTTTACTTTGTGTTTCTTCATTCTTGAGATGACTGAGAATGCTCGGCAAAAAGCTTTCTTAAAGAGGACAGAGAGTCTACGAAACAAGCTTAAGCATAATTCTCATACCACTAACTCAACCAATGCGATTCTGTGCTTCAGTGATGACACCAATGAGTACATAACTGTCGCTGGTTACCCTTGGGGGTATGACATTAGGGTTTTTTTCCTTTTCTTCTTTGTAATGTTTTTTAATTGAGTTTTTGACATTAGAGTTTCTTCTTATGCATTGTTTTTTCTTTTTCAGGCCTGGTCGTGTCGTGAGAAGGTACATCAGAGAAGTGGCAACTATTGATGACATGCTTGAGATTGCTCCTGCTTCCCAGTTGGTGGATGGAATAGCAAATACTGTCAACTGGGTAGCAGGAGCAATCTATTAATAACACCACCTGCTGTCTCCACTACTTAAACCAAAAGCTATTTTCAGGTCGCCGCTCACGTGACTTGCAAGAGACTTCTTAGACCTTACTGGCCTAGAATGGACTTTTTGTGGTTGGAAAAAATAGTGCCTTATTTTTCTTTTCTTTTTTTTTAGTTCATGAACATTATTTTTACCCCTAGATCAATCAATGATCAACCTTTTGTAATTTGTACCAAAAAGGTTACAAAAGAGAGAGACATAATGATAAATCACTATGATTACAAAAGCTCGACAGTAATTACTCTTTTAAATCATATAAAAGGAGAGAAAAAGAGAGATGTCAAATCTGTGAGATTCATTTACTGAAGAGAGTAGGGTCAATTTTGGATTGCAGTGAGATTTATACACAAATAATAGTGCTTACAAGAAATCATCTTTAAGCTTTGTCCTCTCTCATGATGATGATGATGATACTGTTGCCTCCGATAACTTTCTCGATCCAGATGCAGCCAGTAGCTCGTAATCCTGTACAACCAGTAAACACAAATTGAAAAATTCTGACTTAGCATTTAGCAATCTCTCTATATAACCGGAACAGTTTACTAGTGGGACAAAAAACTGGGTAAACCGACCGGTTATTGGCAAAATATTCCAACAAGAAACAAAAGAACCGGATCATTTGAATGCCAAGTTTGTGTTTACCTGCACAATAGACTGTGAGCAGAATTTGCCAGAGAGAACCGCGCCTTCCATGGAAGCTAAGTACTTCTGTTTTGTGTAATCTCCAGCTAAGTAGAATCCTTCAATAGGTGATCTCTGTAGAGGACGACATGGTTCACAGTTTGGGATGGTCTTATACACAGACCTGATCATGCAACAATAGAGAAAGATTTTGTATTTATCAACATGTGGAGCTAAGAAAATGAAACTTCTCCAATGTTGGGTTTGGTTTAACTTCACTAACCTTGGTGTTTTAACGACATGGTACTTCAGGATTTTAGCTTTGCTTTGGTCAGCTGAGATTTCATCAGGGAAGAGTTTCTCGAGTTCTTTCATTGTTGCATCTATGATGTCAGAGTCAGTCCGTGATATCCACTCCTCTGCTGGTGCAAATACTAGCTCCAGCATCGACCGGTTAGGATCGTAATATTCCTACAGTTAATAAAAGAAAGAAAACGCTTTGTTGAATCAGATTCGGAATCAAGATAAGTCATCAAAATTTATGAGAAGATACTTGTGAGAAGCTCCACAGTGCACCAAGTTATGATATCTTATGATTGACGAACACGTTTAGAAAAACAAGACCGCGTTCTTACCTTACAAGTTAAGGACATGTCCGCATACACGCTAAGAAGGTTACTTCTGAAAAAGCAACAAAACAAGATTGTTGAATATACAACAAATGTTTAACCAAGAACAAGCCTAAGTGTTGCTGATTCAAGACTATACACTTTTATTCTTCATGAAAAGTCAAGTATAAATGGAAATTTCTTTTTTCCAACACTGTGTCCAACTAAGTATTCTATAAGACATAATTCCTCAAAACGGTGTAAATAAGGAATTCACCTGCTAAAGAGTAGGTGATCATATGTGTTCTTCAGTTTTCGATCAAACCTGCAATTTGACAGCAGTTAAGACCCACACGTAATCTCAATTCTCACATAATGGTCAAAAGAAAAATGAGATAACGGTCTCACTAACCATATATGAACATTAATAACTGGCACTCCAACTAATTTATCCAATTTCTTGAAGTACGGTATTTCTTTCCAGGGATCTGGTAAAAGGAGCTTCAGGATATCGACTAGAAGAAAGACATAAACAGCATATTAATAAGCAGGATACCAGATGAAATGTAAACCCACAAGATAATATGGTAGTAAACCTGGAGCGGCAAACACATAAGCGTCTCCTTCGACAGTGCTTCCATTAGTTAGTAAGAAACTCTTAACCGTGCCATCGTTATTGAGCTCAATTTTCTTTATCCTAGAATTAAGTTGCACTTCCCCACCTAGTGATCGAATATGATCCACTATTGGCATACAAAGCCTTTCCGGAGGATTACCATCCAAGAATGCCATCTTGGAACCATGTTTTTCCTGCCAATGTAGTTTCTATTAGTTTGCATTTACAAATTCTCAATATCCTAACCAACTGTTGCAGCTTATGACACACCATAAGTTTCAAGATGAGAAACATCTGGTCATTTGGATGAGGTGCTAGAAGTTAATCAACTGATAAACTCAAGAAATAAGGTGGTCATTATATCGATCTTATCCACAACAGCAACACCGATGAACGAATAAAAATGAAAGCGATTTTTTGTTAGCAAAACCACTCGCTGACAAGAAAGTAAAGTACATCATGTTTTCGAGAGAATATACTTAATCCTTCCTACCACTATGGGCAGAAGAAACAATAGCGAGAACCTTAGGAAGAACTATTGGGTAAAAAATCATTCTAGTATAGTTTCCATGTCGACGATGTGAATGGTAACTATGATTGCCAGTGCAATAAAGAATCACAAAACGACAGAAGGAAGAACGAAGAGAAATAAAGGGCTGGAATGTCCAACCTGAAGAAACCGGTTCAAAGCTATCAAAATGCATTGCATTGACAGTTCATCAGGGTTGATAAAGTTTAGTGCCTTTGACATGGCAATAAACACCTCGTCAGTCACACGCTCAGGTACTCCCTGGACGAGTATACAATTCATCAGAATGTATTATTATCTGATGAGCAAAAGCACATGAACGAGAATGAAACAAAACAACCACATGGACGGGAAAAGTCAGAGCTAACCATACGAAAGCTGACAAATCTACAATAAATGATTCAGCATGCTAACTACTCTACCACAAGTTAAGCATCAACATGATTACAAGAATCTCACAGAAACTGTGAACTCAATAGCCTACTTGCCT